CGCCAATTCCTGCCATATTGCTGTTCCTGCTAGATTCACCAGGGGAGTCTTCAAATCTCTCCTACTTGTACAACAAAAAGCATGTGGGTCTGAAAATTTGGGGGAAAACCCACTGAAAACCCCAAGATCCAAAGGTCCTAAACTGCATTAATACCTGCCAGTTGTTTTGCTATCCCCCCTTTGACGACAATTGCTGGATGGCGATGTGGCACTGGCGCTTGGTAGCTCCACTGTACGAACACCGGCGGATCGCACCCGATTTTCGATTGTGAAAAGTTAGGGGATTCCTGGAGTGCCAATAGATTCAATAGATGACTTATGTTATGACCAGTGTTGGGAAAATCTGAAAACCGGAAATGACCTGGTTTGAAAACCAGCCACTGAGAAAGGGTTCCAATTTCAAGTTTCGAACCTGTTGGCTATGTGTCTAGCTGTGAGTAGGTCTACACTTCATTTGTCCCACAAAGATGGAAATAGTTCACCGCTCCTATCGGAATAGTGACATATAGTGACAAAGCAGCTGAGCAGTGTTCAAATTCCCTGTAGTTTGATGATAGTTTGATGTAATTAGGGATATGCTATCCAATACTTTGGGGATTCATATAACCCATTGAGAAATCTCCAATCTGTGATCTAAAGCTCCAACCGGCCCCCGGGTCCCCGGGTCCCCGGCTGCTAGCGTACTGGCCGCCGACCATGGCAAGCGCCACACTTTCCCGACCATGGCTACACCTTAGGGGTTGGTGGAATCAGAGTCCCAAGAGATGCAGGGAAGTCCCTTTGGCCCTATGGCCCTATGGGTTGGATGACCGCCCCAAGAAAACCAGGGTTTTTGAGAATGGCACCTAGAATCCATAAGTGTACGCACACGAAAATCATGTCGCATGTGTAGAAGATTGGCGGTTTTTCATCACTTGTCGTGTCCATCTAGAAGCAGATCAACTCTCAACAGCTCTGAAGCCATCCAACTCGTGATGTATATAGCACAAACACGAACTGCACTTTGATATCAGAAAACAGGGCCTCTCTGTGTCAGGAGCTTACGCGGAAGTCACGTGCAAGTTTTCTCTTAGTATCAAGGGGGCATACCCAGAGATCATTTATGAAATAAAAACTTCTTTGCAAGATGAGCTATGGGAAAAATGGATGGTGTAGATCCAAAAGACAAGCACTTGGTGGATTTCAATGTTGTAGTGTGTGGATCCTCCTGCACAGCTCATGATGTTAGTAAATTCTATCCTAGGTTTCTTTTGGTGAAACAGCCCTACTTTTGTTGAGGTGGCTGAGTGGCTCAAACACCTGTTGATGAGATCACTGACAGGATTACCAACAATTGATCAGCGGGATACCTCTGGTTTCAAGTCAGTAGATGCTATCCTTGGAACAAAGTCTTTAAGGCGATGCTTTTTCACATGGATTTATCCACCATTTTCAACCAGTTAATCCACCATAGGTATCCACTGAGAATCCACCGTTTTTTCATCCCAAAATCAGTGGATTTTCAGCCCCAAAATGGGATGATTTCCATGGTGTTCCACGTGGTGAAACACCATGGGAGCGAATTTGTAGCATCTACCGATTTTTTGGCGTTCCTTGCATATCATAATATAATATAATGTAATATAATATATGTATACATATAGTTTATGTATATATATATATATGTATAATTTATAATATATATATATACATATGTATATATATATATATATACATATACATATATACATATATATATACATATATATACATGTATATATACATATATATAGAATCAAGAAAAATGGTTCCACAGTCCATCTGTATATATCCGAAGACATTTTACATCATGGGATCGTGGAATCCTGGATACAAAATTCTTGGATTCTGTAGATATTTTTCTCATCCTTGAAAAACCATATCAAATCATACAAAAATCAAAATCTTGTGTGTTTTAAATGGATATTGAATGGATATTAAATCATATAAATTCGGATTGTGTGTTGTCACTATTTCACTATGTGGATTTGTTTTCATAGTTTTTCATATATAACAATATCCACAAATCCACATAGTGAAATAGTTAAATGTCCAGCTGTTCTAATGGTTAAAATGTCCATAAATCACCAGCTGTCGCAGCTCAAGTGCCACCGCGATCTGCACCATGTGATACCCGCGATCTGCACCTCGGCCGCTCAAGTTCCATCAAGGTCCAAGTGGTGTCAGACTTTATACCTGGTAAACGTTTACAGTACCCTATAAATGGGTGGTATAAACCATGGTATAAACCATGAAAATATGGGTGGTTTATTATTGTTTTACTCACCAAAACCTCTGGTAAACGGACTAACAGTTTGCGAACTGGAAAATCACCATGTTGAATGGGTAAATCAACTATTTCTATGGGCCATGTTCAATAGCCAACTGTCAAATTACCAGAGGGTATCAGTTGGCTTCCACCATCACCATGGGATGATGGTACCCCGAAATCATCCATTCTAATGGGATTTTTCATGAAATAAACCATCAATTTTGGGGTGCCCCCATTTATGGAAACCCCCATATATATATACATACATACATACATATACATACATATACATACACATATACATATACATATATACAATCTATACAAGTAAATGTGTATATATATATATACACATGAAATAAATGGATTATATGCGAAGTCGTCCATCATGAAACCGACCTTCCCCAGGTGCCTCCGGCCACGGGCCAACCTTGTTTTCAGAGCCATGCAGAGAGCTTGCGAGATGGTGTGGAACGGCGGAACGGGGGTTTTGTGACATAGCTGTGCTGTCAGGGAATCTGACTTCATCTGGGTCTATGTTTGATATTCAGAGATATTGGATGTTACCCGGCCTGGTAAACTGTCACATAACGAACTGGAAAATCACCATGCTATTAAGGGGAAAATCCACTATTTCTATGGTCATTTTCAATAGCTATGTTAAATTACCAGAGGGTATAGTGATGAATAGTTGGATTTAAAAACTTTAAGCAGCAAACAGCTGGAAATGACCAACCATGGGATTTCATCCCAAAAAAAAACTGAGCTTGACCAGCAAAGCATGCAACCTCAAAAACCATGGTGAATTACCAGCAAAAAAATAGTGCCTTGACTAGCAAAATGGTGGATAAAATATGTCACACCTTATAACTAGGTTGAACTGGTAATACTTAATTGGGTCTTGATGTACGAGGGCTATGCGCCTGCTAAAAAAATCGAGGGAATGACACGTTGTTGATTAAGTCCCAATCAATCAATCAATCAATCAATCATTTGTTGGCCCAAGTCCAATGATTGTTGTTGATTACACTCCAAGACTGCTCAAGTCCCTTTGGATGTTGTGAAATATGGTGTTTTACATTCTTAGTGTCGCTGAACTCGCATTTCTATGCCATTTTTTTGCATGAATTTCGGTAGTTTCAAGGGTTGCTCAGCTAAAACCAGCCCTCAAATTCCAGTTGGTCACCTGCGTTCAGGTACAAAGCTTGCTGAAGACCCAAGCAGCGTCCCAACGAGTCCGGGATGAACAATGGCTCCAAACAAATGGCAGTGTGTCAAAACCTTGTACCCCTGTAGTTCACATCAAAATAGCTGGGATTTATGGATGTTCATCCCACTAAAAATGGTATCTATAGGTATTGATCCATACCCAAATGGATTATGATGTTTATTTGGGAGATAACCCCCTTCTCCAGCAAAATGTTGGGGAGTACCGCGACATTTTCAGACCACCGATGAAAGGCAAAGTCGTTGGAGGATTTCACCAAGAGCGATGACTGATCAGCACCGAAACTGACTTATCTAAGCTGCGAAACATTGACTGAGGAAGCCATTAAATATTGAAATGACCAACCAATCCTGGTCCCCATCGGTTGCAGGTGAATGTGCCACCATCAACTCATTTTTGCCTCTACAGCATCAGCATTTCGGGGTATGTGCTTCAGATATTGCAAGGATAATGTGGAAACTGCCCTCTAAAGATGATGTACCCTCTGGTAAACTAACATAATTATGGAAAATCACCATTTTTAGTGGGTAAATCCACTATAAATGGTCATTTTCAATAGCTATGTTAGTTTACCACAGGGTACTCCTTTTGGGTGTTTCTGTGCCAGTTTACACTGTGGACTCACCATTTGGATATCCCACCTATCATTCTGGTCAACAAACCATCACCATTTCTATCCAGGATGGGACCGGAGTTGCTTTCGGAAAAGATCTTCACAGTTGTGATTCGATCTTGAAGCTCAATGAAGAATGTCAGTCTGTCCCAGTCTTCGCTTAGCAATCCTTGGAGCTACCATGACTTCATACCGAAAATCTGGCGCTCAGGAACACCGTACCACCCTTTCTGCTGTCAAATTCTGCAGCTGATGGTCAAGGACCCCGCGCTATTTTTGGTGCCTGGAAAGAGGGTTTTTGGCAGGTGCCGGGTTTTTCGCCCCCAAGTTATGGCCATTTCATTGGGAAAATGAGGAAATTTTCGACCACTGGATTTGGGGTATGACCCATAGAAATAGATGGTTTACCGTTCTTAAAAATGGAGATTGTCCATGGCAAACTGTTAAATAACCAGATGGTATATATATATAATTATATATATATGTATATTCTGTATTTTCCTGTGCTAAAACTTCAGCTGCGATCTTTCAAAGGAAAATGTTCCCAGCCAAAGTGCATAAACACTAGAAATTTCTGTTCTGGAAGCTTTGGGCGGGTAGGTCACCATCAGAAATTCCTGTTATTTTCAATGTTCCCAGCTCCATGGCGTGCATAAAACATGATGTAAAGTGTTGTTTTCTAAACTTTCAACGACTAATGGCTAATGTTTTTTGTGGAAGGAGCAAGTCTTCAAAGTTGAAACAGGAAAATTGGATTCACCTGAAACTGGGGGCCTGGCTCATAACCTCGATACATACATAATATACATACATAATATTATATATATATATTATACGCACACACATCACATAACTGGGGATCTTGTCTATCTAAATGAGCTAAGCCAACCATGGTCATTGAAGCCACCCTGGGTAGCCCTACGGGGTCTCCGGCTCAAGCCATCTGGGCCCCTTTCCGCATACCGGACCCCCCCCCCATGGCGCCCGCGCCGGCGCGCAACAGGTGGATTTCCCCATGGAAATTGAGGAATTTTGCCAACATTTTTTTGGCAAATGGCCCATGCAACTGGGAGCTTTACTTGATAAAGATTGGACAAGAAATTTAAGGAATTTAATATTCAGGGATCCCACTAGTTCGCAATTTGGATGAAACAATGCAGCAAGGTGGTTAGAGAAGTTGGGGCCCGGGCCTGCAATGAAAGTGGTTATAAAAAAAGATGTGACGAACATGTTCCTATGGTTCAGGTACATGGATGCCTGATGATTATTGGGTGGTTGCACTGGTTGCGAAAAAACTGGGGATGATCACTGCAATCACAATCCATGCCCTGGTGCCCATCCCCAACATCCCATGGGCCACCCCATGGGATCCCAGGTGCTTTCATGGTGCCCTTCTCTTCACATTGAGCCAAGGTGCAGCGGAAGAAAAACCCTGGCTAAAGAATGGATGGAATGGATGGAATGGATGGAAAATTGGATGGAAAATTGCGTGGCAATTCAGAAAATGGAAACGCTTCAAAAATGGATTCAACATCTTTGGAAAATGCGATGGAAAAACGGTGGGTCTCCAACGGTGTCATGTTGGGTTCCCCAACATTCTTGATGATATTCCCATGTTCATTGGTTCCAGTTGGTTTTTCGCCTCCATTTCCTCTGAATTCCCAGATTTACCATCTGGTTATTTAACATTTAACATAGCCATGGAAAATCACCATTTTTAATAGGTAAACCATCTATAAATGGGCCATTTTCCATGGCTATATTACATAACCAGAGGGTATCATATTTCTTGATCAAATCAGACTGAGTTCGTAGTTTTTTTTGTTGGATGATTCCCTGATATAACTGGATGGTGTTTTTTTGGGGTTCTGCCCAAAAAAATTGGCCAATGATATCTCCACCATATCATCCCGATGATCTCCACCATACTCAGTTGGATTGGTTGGGAATTGGGAATATTTACTGGTTGAAGCCCCATAAAAAACATGGAATTCACATCAACAAAATGTGGGGCTTAACCTATTAAATGGCCCATTTATAGATGGTTTACCTATTAAAAATGGTGATTTCCGGTGATGTTCCCAACAAAACCAATGGTGGCGCCAACAAATTGGGGATGGCCATAAAGTGCGTGTTTCCATCCGGAAGGCCTGAGAACAACTGCCACATGCACTCTCAATGCACAAGCATGTCCAGGATCGCCGGTGCCTTGGAATGCGTTGGGGGCGGGACTTGGGGGCTGACATGGGCTGACTCTTGTGGAAATTCATAGATTAAAATACATGTAGGACTATCATATACCCATATCTACAAGATGATAGAATATGAATTGAATATGATATATGCATATACACATATCCATAGATTTGCAGGGACTGGCATCACCCATCCCAGTTTTTGAGCTTGTGGGCGTTTTCATCAGTGAGATTGGGGTGATGAACATCGACCGGCCAGCTGTTTCGGTGTGATAAGCTTTATGGAATCAGAGAAGTGTGGAGATTTCCATCTGAAACTGGCTGAAACCTGTGGGTTGTTCATCACTTATATACTATATCCAACGAATTCCAACTATCTGGCCATATCTGGCCATTTCCTCAGCCTCCCTTGGGGGCTGAGGTAGATTGGTCTCACCATGCATCCTGCATGGAGACACGAAGGTTTCAGAATCCCTGCGAAAACGTTCAAGAGGCGGCGCCAGGGCGCCAGGGCGGCTGTGGGGCTCCCTATGGAAAGCTGGACTTGTTCCATTGTTACACCATCTTTGGAAATAACGAGTTCCCAGGTTTAATTACCCTCTGGTTATTTAACATAGCCATGGTATAGATGGCCCATTGAAATAGACGCTTTACCTATTGAAAATGGGTGGATTTTCCATGGCTATGTTAGTCATAACCAGAGGCTAATTCCCAAAAAGACTCGAAGCAGTGAAATCACCACTTTGACTGGTTGAATCCCATGTGTTTTTTGTCAATATCCCACTGGAAAATCCCACCATAAGTTTGGCCAAGGATTGCGTTACCAATCTACCCACCAATTTGGTCATGCTAATAGCAACGTCCAAAAAAATAAGAACATAGTGAAACGTAAAATCCGTCTAAAATAGTGTTAATGAACGAGTCTTCTGTTTTTTTCAAGTTATCCATTTTGGCAAAGCAAGGATTTTGACCACCCACAACGACCCCATCGTGGTGTTCCAGGAAATAGAGCTACGCATTGAAAAGAACTTGGATCGCAAGAAGCTACCAGGTCACTCAGGGTGGGAGCTATCAACAGGTCACGAGGAAAATGTTGATTTAAGGCGATGTTAATGGGGATAGGATGTATATACTGTAGTGATTAACTATCCAATTAACATGTATAACATTAATGAATATTAATAGCGATGTATATAGCTAACCTAACTATCCAATTCATTGCTATTTGGGGTTGCTTTTTTTAATGTGGTATCCCCCGAAGGTGGTTTTTATCTAACATTTCCCCACTAGAAATGGCCATCGAATGGCCCATGTGCGGGTATCCCCAATTTCCGGACACATCCATCTGTACCATTGGGATGTTGATGGGTAGAATAGCCACATAGCCAGCATCGATCTGCATTAGCCATCATTGCTTCAAACCATCCCCCTTTTTTTGACCAGTGGGTCGCCACAGTTGAGATGTGTTCACCACTTTTCCCTGGGACAATCTAGGGCTCTATTCCAAATATGGAGGTTTCCTGAAATGGAGGTACCCCTAAATCATCCGTTTTAGACTGGGATGTTCCATTATAAACCATGCATTTGGGGGTACCATTTATGGAACCCCCGTAGATATCCCAGTTCCAAGTGGAAACACCATCCCACCTCCAGCTGATTTTCCGGTTACAGGAATCCCAGGATTGATGAGGACACCCAGCCACTCTTCAATGAAGATGTTCCCAAAAAAAAACCACTCCATTGAATACCAAATGGTTGATAAAATCATATAAAATAGAATAAATTCACTATGTTCTGGGTTGAATCCCAAATTTCATTACCCTCTGGTAAACTAACATAGCTATTGAAAATTACCATTTATAGTGAGTTTTCCCATTAAAAACGGTCATTTTCAATAGCTATGTTAAATTACCAGAGGGTACTTAACTTCCCCCTGTTTGACCCCAACCCTGCAGGTCAGTACGAGCTTCTGAGCACTCAGCATGGCACCTGCAGCAAGGGCAGCAGAGCCACCAGCCCACATGCTGTTCCAGGCAACGGTGTGGATCACCAAGGAAAATGTGTTGATGGTGATTAATAATAGTGGTTATTAATGATGATTAATGATGGTTAATGATGATTAATCATGAATAATGATTGTTAATAATGGTGATTAATGGTGATTAATGGTAATGTGGGTAAAGCAATGCCATAAACCACCCATGACTGGGAATAGTAAGTCTATACCACCTATAAATTTATGGTGATGACCGGGGGATGGTTTATGATTGTTTTGATGGGAAAGTGGGTACTAATGATGGGTATATAATGGGGATATAAGCTACGTGATAGGAATAATGGCTCATAGTGTTCAATAATGGTTACAACATTGAGATAATGGGAATATACTGGGAATATCATTGGAAGACGGAAGATAGTCGGATATTTGCTGGGGTCATGGTGTTTTAATGGGGATTATCACTGGATGTAATGATGATATCCTTCTTAGCCCAGTTGATGCTTGTTGGTTTATGGTGAGTTTAAGAAGCGAAAAATGGGGATTCAGTGGCACTATGATGGAATTATCATGGGACATACGTAATAGGGATATGGAGGTTTCTTGAAATGGGATATCCCCAAAAACAAAAACATAGGTGTGGTCTAATTTTGGATGATTTGGGGTACCCTCATTTTAGGAAACCTCCGTATATCTACAATTCAACTGAGAGCACACAGGCAACCATAATGATTCATAACAGGGAATTCATGTGGATATGAATGGGGAGATATTGGAATATATCGGGTAAATATGATATATGGGTGTGTCTGGAAATGCTGATGCAGATACACATAAAACGGCAGTTATCATGGTGATCAAGCATCATATGTGGTGTTCCCTCTAAATTTTCAGACAAAACCCGTTGAACCAGCCTAAACATCGTGATGTTACCATCAAGAATAGGGATGTTTCACCGATTTTTACAGGCTACTCCCCACATTTTTTGTGCATAGCAATCCATTTTTATTGCCGGGACATGATGGGTTTTTTTCTGTGGGCCAGTGGACGAGCTATGAGGAAAATTCCACAACGAAAGGGCAGATGCTTGGGTTTGGGGACGAAATTTGAAAACACAACTAACAGGGCAGTTGTTAGTTGTTTTTTATCTGGTTTTATGACTACAAAAGATGCTTCAACCATGGTTCAATGGGTCAGAATCAATAGGATTTGCCAATGTCTTAAGGATCCACTGACGTAGAAATGTGGTTTTTTTCGGTAACTGCCAGCAAGATCATCATTTCAAGGTCCCCAAAGATCTTCTGTGATTCGATGTCTTCAACCGGTCAACCTTTGGTGAGATACTTTGTCTGGTTGGTGGTTTGGAACATTTTTTATTTTCCCATATATTGGGAAGAATAATCCCAACTGACTAATATTTTTCAGAGGGGTTGAAACCACCAACCAGTTGTACTTTAATATACGTTCATTAATCTGTTGCTATATGTTGCTATCTGTTGCTATATGTTGCTATCAATGGTATAATGTACTGAGATAGCAACATATACCATTATACATATACCATATAATTGGTACCATTTTTTAATAATGCTATTGAATAATGGTATACAACTATATTCAATATAAAAAATGGTACCAACAGAACTGGTATTGAACAATGGTCAAATTCGATTGTTTCGGTGTCTACGATTCACCATGTTTTTGCCATCCTGGGATCACCAGCTCCAGCTCGATGCGATTTGTCGAAATGGTGTCCATCAGATTTGTGACGCAATAAACATATCCCATTTGCAGAAGGCCTCTAATAGATATATTGTAGTATATTTATAGTGTATATATATAATTATATATATATATGTATATATAATTATATATATAGTTATATATAATTATATAATATATTATATATATACATACGTGTATATATATACATATATATATATATACACGTATGTATACATATATATATATATACATATATATATATTTATCTATGTATGCATGACATTGTGGAATATTTATAGAGCAACCATGGTATACCAACCCCCATCTTGCTTCCGTTTTTGTTACAGGTCCCTATACAGATATCTTCGGTTTTCTCTACGTCTCCGAACCGGACGGCTGCTGGGTCACCAGCTGTTCTGAGAGCCAGGCGAAAAAAGTGGGCTGCCCAATGGAGCCATGAATGGAATCACTGGTTGATTGGTTCATTTATTGGGACTTACCCTCTGGTTATGACTAACAGTTCGCCATGGTTTTTCGATGGCCCTAATCGAAATAGATGGTTTACCGTTCTTAAAAATGGGCGGATTTTGCATGGCGAAGTGTTAAATAACCAGATGGTATACCCAATTTATTGTTGATTTTTTAATGGCTTAAGACCCTGAAAGCAACATTTATTCAGTGGAAACTCATCTTCCAAGCCTCAAAAAGTATTTGGCGGGGCAAATCTTTTGGTGATCCAACATGGCTTGGGGATGTCCCATTGTGCCAGGTTTTTTTCCACCGGTCAATCATGGGTTGAAAAGTGGGAATTGTGATCATTAAAGATTGGGATTTCATGGAAACAAATTGGACTTTGTAATTTGAGATGAATCCAACTCAACTGAGCATAGGTCAACTTGACTTATCGACAAGTTTGCTATGTTTTGCCACGGGGATTTGAAAAATCCAAGTTCAAGGGTATCCAAGGTTCCAAGTTCACGAACCAGACTCAGCCAGTTCGTCATGCACGTCACAAGCACAACGCATCATCCCAAAAACCGCCCCTTGCTGCGTTCATCCAGGTGGAGAGCCTCTGCGACTTTTCCACCAACTTCTGCAATATGTTCAACCTCTACTGTAACGAGGCAACCGCCCCAATTCATCTTCCGCGCTGATCAGTTGATGGAAAGGTCGAGCTATGATACCCTTGATCTTGTGCTATAAAAAAAACTCATAATTGTGATATACATATGAAAATTCTTGTTGGTGAAAATTGCTTGAAATAGGTGTGTTGTGAAAGAACGGTTTCAATCGGTTGTACTACATGTCACTTCATGGCATGTTCTGGTGTTGTATTAACTGCAGATTCTCATCGCTGGCCAGATGGATGGTTGTGAAAGTGTGAAACATACGCTCAACTACGATGCGGCTCTCTTTGGCAAGAACTGCAACCACGGCAAGCAGTCTCTCGGCACAGGGTTTCGGCTCTGAATACGAAAAATCATGGATTTGGATGGATGGAGGTAAGCCATTCTTCAATGGCCATTTCAGGAACCGATTGATTGGAGGTACCTACCATATATAAGGCCTATATAAGGCCTAAATTTCAGGGAATATCCCCACAAAATATTGCCAAAAATATGGTACAGTAGCTACATTTTAGGATCCTGAAGATCTCCCATTGAATTCTTGGGGCCGACATTCCACTAGCTTTGAATCTTTGAGTTGTCATTTGGGGGTCATTTGGTAAATGGCCGCCAAGGTGTGATGGATGGGAGACCGACAAGACGCAATGCACACGAAGATGATTTCACCTGGAAAGATACTGTGGCTGTGGCTGAAAATTGATGAATTTCTCAATTTCATGGTTAAAGTTTTAAAAAAACGAGTGAATCTGTGGGTGAATGTGGTCTTCAATTTTGACCCATAGCCCCTAGTCCATACTTATCACCTGTTTTCAAACCACTTACATACGACGATGCAAATGCGGCGAAAAGAGGCACCCCGGGTGGGGAAAGACACGAGCACATCATAGCGACCTCACAACGATCGCCTAAATGAGGACATATTCCGTAAAAGTCGGATGGGCAGTATAGATGTATGATAACTGTATGTATGTATAATATGCATGTAGATGTATATGTAGTATGTAGATGCACATATATTATATGCATATATGTATAATATGTATAGATACATATATATATATACATTGTGATTGGAATCAACACTGGTAACGCAAAACTGAAAACACCTCAGATCTCACACGCACTGGCTGTTTTCCCTCAAACTGCACAGCGACAAGATCCGATGTTACCTGTTGCAGCTGCAAAGACCAGAATGGTTCTAAGGAACCCCAGTTGGAAGGCCGTCCACGGCAAAAGGATGACTGGCCACAGTCAAATGGCTCCAAGCGGTTTCCGCTCCACTCCCACCTCTGGCTGCCTCAGCCTAAACCGGCTGCAGTGCATGGCAACATGTTTGAAGGACCTGCAAAGGAACTGGACAAAGACTGGGATGCTTTGTGGTTTCACACTCCCAAAAGAAGTTTCAAAACTTTAAGTGTCATTTTCTTTGGATTCACACGTTTGCAGCCATTTGACACGAGTTCGCATGGATGCTCGTTGCTTCAGGATCTCATTTTCATCGTGTAAACTGTAGTGGCCATGTTGAAGTGTGTATCGCAAGAAGTGACTTTCCATGATTTTTGTGAGTGCATCCGCTAGCTGAGCTCCACTGTGAACCCATCTCAACGTCACTCCTTCTGCAAGGAGGTCTTTGATTGCACGGGCTTGAAGCTGCGTTCTGTACTCTTGGCATTGTGGAGGAGCGGTCCGAGTGACCAAATCATATAGTGACTTGCAATCTGTGATGGCAATTGCGGGGTCTTCTTTAAAGGTGGCAGTGGCAAATGTTTCTGGAAGTTTCTTCAAGGTTTCCGTTGGATTTTTCCAATCGGTTTGAGGGTCACGAATCCAGCTCCAAAACAAACGCAACCAGGAAAGTTGGTCAAGCGTAGTGTTCAATGACGTCGTCTCAGCCGATAACGTACTTGTCACTACCCGTTGTATCTTCTTACAGCCCCAACTGATCGGGTTCACAACACAAACATGGTTCTTACCGATGTTCTCATGTGTGGTCATGATCATAGTGCCAGTGTGGGATTCCGGCTGTCTCTTCGATGCGAAGGACGCATCAGAAAACGCAAGAAAGCGAATTTTGTCCATGGGAATTGGCTGAATTTTGATTGAAGTTTCTTTGTGTCTTTTGGCTTCATGTAAAGTTTTGTTTGCTTGTATGAGAGTTTCAATTGTAGCTTTGTTGATATCGCTCTGTAAGAAGCTTAACCGACTTGCCAAATCTGGTCTGGTATTCACCGATGCATATTGAAGGGACCCTATAAGTGCACGAAGATCTTGACGTTCACGTTCAGTGACTGGTAATTCAAGTTGAGCTTTTCGTTCAGGTTGAATGTGAATTGGATTGATCTTGGTGATGTACTTCTCCTGTGACATGACAATACTGTGATCATTTTGTTGATTCATCTCTATGCCAGTGAACACGAAATTCTGTGATTTCTTTGCACCAAAAGGGAATTTCTTCTCCAGTTCGTGGATTGCTTTCTGAAAGTGTTCATCACCACCGCAAAGCCCATCATCTACGTGCACACCCAAGATTCCAGAAGGTCCTTTGGAATGGTCATGGTAATACAAGTACAAACACGGATCAAATGGTGATGGCAGAAAGTTCAGAGACCTCAAAGTTTTGTCCAATTCCGAGAACCACAGGAACGGAGCATCTATGAGGCCATATGCTGACTTCACCAAACGGCATACCTCGTTTGGTTTCAGGTTCATGGCATCCACCATCTCAGGCACTGGCTCAATCGCTATGACTCTATTTTCTTGAGTTCTCCCCTGAAGGAATGCAGCTTTGATATCAAACGACATGAGTGTCCAATGCATGGATGCGATGACTTGGGCAATCAGCATTTTGGAAGTTCTTCCCAAAGTTGGACTGTCTCGGGGAATAGTATCTAGTTGAGGGTCTTGGTATCCCAGTACTACTAATCTGGCCTTGGCAACTCGGCTTTTACCACCATTGGCTTTCTGATCGGCTGGCTCTGTCACTGGTTTCCAAACATACAACCATCGGCATTTCAACACTTGTTCAGGGGCCAGCTCATGTCGGAACATGCGTGCTACGGTGCCAGTCTGAAGCCAATTGTTCACTTCCTTGGTCTTGGCCAACTCGAATTCCTTCTTTTCGGCTGGATCTAGTGTGCTGAGTTTCACTTCGGTTCTCTGTTTCTTTGATGCTGTTGCAAGAAACACCAATTCTTCTTCAGAAGGTTGCTGACTTACATGGCACACTGCATTCAGCTGTTCTCTGGAAAATTCAAGTTCTGCTCTCCACACGACATCTTGGCCATCTGGGCTGATGACATTGTTGTTGTCATCGTCTACACTCACCAGGAGATCGCAAAACAGTTCATCGCTGCTTGTGTCAGGCACAGGAATTTCATGAGGTTGAAGTTCGGGGTTATCATGTAGATTATTGTTATTATGTTCAGGACTATTGGGAGTGGAGTTATTGTTATTCTGATCCTGGGAATTGTTATCTGGCTCTTGATCAGGTTGTTCGGAAGAAACCTGGCTGGAAGGTCTTTGATTATTGCTTGTCTCAGGGACGTGTTGGTTTTCAGGTGACTGGTTACTGTTATTTGTGTTCGGATTTGGAAGACTGACATCCTCTCTCGGTACATTTTGGCATGCTTCACTCCTGGTTCCGGACTGTGTTCCCATGGCTTGAATTCGGGACTCTAAAGGAATTAACCTGGCCTCCACTGCGCTCACAGGTCTGATATGTTCCGGTGCTGCCCGAACTATTGAACCCATGTTATTGCAGAAAACCGTGTTATTTCCATCTTGGATTATTACTTTGGCTGGACCAATCCAAGACCCTTTGTTGATATTGTTTTTCCAAACCATTACCCATTCCCCAGGACTGTAAGCACCTCTGTGTGGCCGATCACGTCTCAAGGTAGCTCGTCTTAGAGCCATGTCATTGTCAGCGGCATGGAATGCTTTCCGGGCTGTCTCACGCTTGGCTAGCATGTCTCTAAACCTTATTCCTGATTGATTTTCACTGTCAGCTCGTGCATGTGCTGGTAAAGTGTCATCACCTACAATGGAGCCCGGCACCCGCAAACCACGACCAAAGACCAATGTCTCAGGAGAGTACCCCTGCTTCAGGCTGCATGCATTCTTCGCCATAGTGCATTGTGTCAGGGCCTGTTGCAACAGCTGATAGTTGGTCACATCATGTTCAAGTTCATACTTAGACAACATATGTTGCAACACTCCTCCATGACGTTCAATGCGGCCCAACTGCCAATGTGCATCTGGCGGAATCACTTGGCAACGCACATTTATACTTTGCAGGAATTCTACAAACTGCTGCGATAGGAACTCTGTGGCTGAGTCAAGAAGGATCTCATTTGGTGGACCAGCCCAGTTGAGCCATCCACTGATTAGTCTTTCTTGAGCTTCGGCACGATTGGGGGCAATCATTGCTGTATGATAGTTGGTTCCGTAGTCAATGAAGTGGTAAAAGTGAAATTCTTGACCCTGCTTATTAGTCCACTTTACCCCCTCCATTGCTATCTTATCCCCAAATTCAAGTTCCTCCTTGAGCGTACTGGGCCTTTGCAACTTTGGACGTTGCTGCATTTGACAAACGGAGCACTTCAAGTCCATAATTCCCTGTGACAGTTCTTGGCTGTATCCCCGCTGCTGTAGGATCTTGCTAAGCTTGGCTGGTTCAGGGTGTCCTAAGTTCTTATGCATCCTAAGTGCAAGTCTCCGATTTTCAGCTGACATTGACAAAAACTTAGGACCATGATCTTGGCTGATTTCATCTACTTGACTGGGCGTCATTGGAACTTCAGGGACATTTGGACTTGGCAAGGACGACGGTGCTTCCAGGTTCGCCTCTGGCACGTTGCTTGCAGATGACCTTTCCAAGGTCGGAGATTGTGTCGCACTTGCTGGCTCGGCTGGCTGAATTATGTCGCTGGCAGATTCAAGGTCATGATTTCGAGCGAACACTGTTATATTCAGAAAGCTGGGGTGTGATCTCCTCCATTGTTGTCTGGCTGACAAATACTTCCATTCTTCCCATTCATCCTCAATTTGTATTTTCTTGGTGACACGCTGGATGATTATGGCTCTTCGGAATGGAGCTTCCTCGGGGACCATATCTTTAGGTGGTACTACTGTTCGTTCAGTTCCCTTACATATCATGATTCGAATTACCTTCTTATCATGAAACAAGGTCTGTATGTCCTCAAGGATTTTGGAATCATGAATTTCTTTTCGACCAACTCTGGGGGCTTGATTCATGATTCTTGTGCAAATGCTTTCGCAAAGTTTAGGCATGTTAATTTCCTCAGTGCTCTTCTCACGGAGGCGCCGTCTCTTGGCTGGCATTTGACTTGGTTCGATCAGCTCACTATTCCTCAGCTTCGCTCGCTTTGGTTGGGAGCCATCAGGCGTCCGGCTCGGTCTTTTGTGCACGGCTGCAAATGCTGCTTCACTTGGAAATGGCTTTTCCTTGATGCATTTGATGGATGTCAAAACTTTGGCAACTGTTCTCGAGAACTTTCGGGAATAGTTCTCGGAAAACTCAGTTCTTTTCAGGCGGTGACCCTTGTGGACGGTTTCTCCACATAGCTGTTGATTCTCATGCTGTTTGTTGCAAAACCTTCCATGAAGTTGAAAGTAAAATTGTTGTGAAGTTGTAGCAATCTCCATGCCCTTTTTGTACAACATTTGGTTCTGTGGATCTCGCATGGCTCCTACCTTACACATGTCAAATTGGGCTATCTTGGTACCCATCGTTACTTCATGAAGCATGGGTGTGCGAAGCATGATGGATCGAGCCGGCTGCTCCCAATGCATGTGACGGCAATGGTCCTGCTGGTGTCGATACAGCACAAGACCCAAG